CCAATTTTCCTTTTCCTTCCACGCCAACCTCCTTTCTCTATACAGAATAAGCGATGATGAGTTCTCCTCAAGTAAAATAATCCGGAAGTGAAATACCTCTCCATTCGGATTTCCGAGCATTTATTTTCTCTAGAAAGGCGGGACTCAGTATGCCCGATATTGTAATGTCCTCCCCACTAAGCCCGCCATGTCTATGCTCGGTGTTTCCATCAGCAACACTCTTTCATGGAAAGATCTATCGCAAAAGCTGCTTCACAAAGACTCGGATTCTTGTTCCGTGCGAAAAGCTACTTTACACCTCAACAGCTTCTCATGATCTACAAAGCGCAGATACGGCCTGTTCCAGAATACTGTTCCCACATATTGGGTTCAGCACCAAAACATACGCTGATGCTCTTAGATGCCATCCAGAGAAGAGCCATCCGACTGGTGGGTGACGACACACTCACTCACTCTTTGACATAATTGGAACATTGTAGAAAGGTCGGCGACCTTTCACTTTTCTATCGATACTTCCACGGGAAATGTTCTTCGGAAATATCTGCTATCATCACTTCACTAGCAATACCAGCCAGACAGACTAGACAAGCCCAGTCAGCACATCCGCTCGTTGTCAACCTCGAAAGATGTCGAACAGCACTTTATCAAAACTCCTTCATCCATAGAACGGCTAGGCTCTGGAATTCATTGCCTGAGGAAGTATTCCCAACAACATATAATCTCCAGAAGTTCAAAAAGAATCCAATACCTACCTCCTGTCCCTATCCTCCCTAGGAACGCACGATGTTCTTTGAACATCATAGGAATTTCCTCTCATGCGCTCCAAGCGATAAGAAAAAATGTCATGTGGAGTTTGAAATTGAACGGAATAGATCAAGTAATGAGATGTTCATTTGCCAAGAATGTTTCATTTCCAAGACATAAAGAAAATTCAACACGTCTGAGTGCGTATCATCGATACCAGCTGAGCCTGAAGATAGGATGAAGAAACCTGATATGAATAGTCATTATTTTATCATATAGAGAAGCTATTGAAACATTACTCTATATAGCTCTGAATACTCGCCCTGACAAAGCATACTCAGTGAATTGTTTGAGCCTATTCAACAATGAATCCAGTCATGAACATTAAGATGCGGTCAAGAAAATGTCCAGGTATTTGAAAAATATACCTATGGTCATGGAATTCTATACCGTGAGTCCAGTGAGGGAAATTTGCAATCGAAGCGCTATCAAGCTCGTTAGTTATCCAGAATCCCATCAGCGAACGAAACATCTTGACATCAAATTCTCGTTAGTGAAGCAGTTGAAAATAAAGCAGCTTGTATGAGCTCCATCGAGTCCAAGTTACAATCAGCCGATATTTTAACGAAGTCCTTGCCGAAAAAAAAAATATTCACTTCATTCGTTCTGTGTGGAAGATATGTGATTCGCATCCTTGTCCAGATGAAGATATGGTTTTCAAATAAAAATGAGGAAGTGTTAAATTATTGGATTTCATCAAAAAATCACATAGCTCATGATTCTTATGATATTCGTATATCTTGTAGCTATCGATATTTTTTCAGTTCATAATTTTTCTCTTTTCAAATGTGTACTATCGTGAATCTGCACATTCAAAAATTAGTTCATGTCCTATGGTTCTTCCTATGATGGACGTGTCGTATATAGTACTCCACCCTGAAGAGAAAACGATTCGGAATTCGATATTCAATTACAACATCAAGCTAAGCACAGATTCAAACAATTAGCGACACGATGTTCAACAAGATCTGAATGTAATGATTTCAATTACTCAAAAACATAAGCGATATTATAGGGTTGACAAAAGTCTGGAAATGGTCGAATATTTCATCAGGTATCATTCATATGATCCATTTTCTAAATACACAGGGTGATTGAATCGTGATATACAGGGTGTCAATTTGAAAACTTCCCACCCTTAATATCTCCCTCCAAGTCGTTAATATGGAAAAACGAAAAGACAGGTCGATTTTATTCTCGAGGGGGACACTTTGAATTGATATTTTTGACCATCATGGTTCAACCCCCTAGGAGGGGTAGATGTCACCCTCAGAATATGAATAGGGAAGAGGGGTCAAGTGGCACATCATTTTGTAGGGCGTTCAATTCTCTTTCCAACGATACCCTACTTTACTATTTTTTGACGAGCAATTTCTGAAAAATAGCGTTCTGAATCTACAGAAGTGATCTAAACTTGCCTGCACAAAGATGCATGATTTTCAGGTTAGTATTTGAACAGAGATTTTTGAATTGATTCTCCTTTCAGTAAAACTAGTCAGGAAATTAGGTAACAACTTCACATCTTTTCAACAGGGGCAACATAATATATTTCTTTTCAACGGTATATCTGCTTACTTTACTATTTTTTGATAACCAGTGATTAGAACTTGCCTTAACTCAGATACATTGTCTTCAGGACGAAAATTATTGTTTTGAATCTTCCATTGATGAAAATGGTTAGAAGGTTAGGTGGCATCGTTACAATAGAAATAAATCTAGTCTACACACGTTTGATTTTTTGTTTGTTGGTTATATTACTTTGAAAAAAAACTTTCAGAGTGCCAGATAGAAATTTCAAACATCTATTCACGTACTATCTTATAAACTGTTCGAAATGTTGTCCATTTTGTTCTAAACAGTAATAAAGTCTGTTTTCGAACTCCTCTCTAACATTCTGGAAAACTTCACCACGAATCGAGCGGCATGCTGCTGTAATTCGTCCTTTGAGTTCATCAATATCCGTCGGTTGTGTTTTGTAAATGACGGATTTAAGATGTCCCCAAAGGAAAAAATCTAAAGGAGTCAAATCCGGTGATCTCGGAGGCCACTCAGTTGCTCCCCTTCTGCCAATCCATCTATCCGGGAATCTGTCATTTAACCACTGTCGGACAGGAAGAAAATAATGAGGTGGGGCACCGTCCTGCTGGAAATGTAACAGATCCTCCTGCAGAAGTAAATTACCGTCTGCATCAATTTGATTTTCTAGCTCGTGAGTTATAAGAGGATCGATAGTATCTTCAAGCATATCTAGGTACAGATTTCCAGTCAAATTTTCTTCAATGAATAAAGGACCAATAATGGCATTTCCAAGAATACCAGCCCAAACATTAATTTTTTGTGGTTGTTGTGTATGTCCTTCTCGAAAAATGTGAGGGTTTTCGTCACTCCAATAGCGACAATTTTGTCTATTCACATTTCCATTCAGAAAAAATGAACATTCATCGCTGAAACAGATATTAAATAATAGATTAGGGATGGCATTGACTCGATTTGATATCGTTTCACAAAATTCTATTCTTCTATCATAATCATCCTCATGGAGCTCTTGAAGAATCTGCATCTTATATGGATGAAATTTATGTAATTTCAGTGCTTTTCTCACAGTCTCGTGTGACATTCCCGTCTGTTCTGCCACTGAACGTAAGTAGCTAGTAGGTTCTGCAGCAAATGTTCCCAAAACTTCAATTTGAGCTTCTTCATTCAGTACTCTAGGATTATTCCTTTTTTTATTTTTCACCGAACCAGTTTCGTAAAACTTTTCCACCAAATCAAGCACATACCGGTGACTAACATTACAATCTGGATTTCTTTCATTAGAAAGAAATGCCGCTCTTCGTGCGCACTTTCCAGCCTCTCCATAAATCACAATCATTTCAGTTCTATTTGAAAGAGTGTAAACCATTTTCACAATTATAGGTACCTACTCTGAATAAACGTATTACTGATTAGCTCAACAAATAAAACTCATCAATCAATAATACTACCAGATCGTTTGAATTTGCTGAACAAAACAGAGTTTTTTTAAATCAGCAGTGGCAAGAAAGGAACAAAAAAGGAAGGCCATCTGTAGAATTGAAAATCCAATGATAAACGCAAATAAGCTATCATCGAAATGTCACTATTAGATCATTGGTGTTGATTTATTGGAGCTGATGGCTAATTATGTTGCCCCTGTTGAAAAGATGTGAGGTTGTTACCTGTTTTTCTGTCCAGTTTTACTGAAAGGAGAATCAATACAAAAATCTCTGTTCGAATACTAACCTGAAAATCATGCATCTTTGTGCAGGCAAGTTTAGATCACATCTGTAGGTTTAGAACGCTATTTTTCAGAAATTGCTCGTCAAAAAATAGTAAAGTAGGGTACCGTTGGAAAGAGAATTGAACGCTCTTCAAAATGATGTGCCACTTGACCCCTCTTCCCTATTCATATTCTGAGGGTAACATCTACCCCTCCTAGGGGGTTGAACCATGAGGGTCAAAATGATTCATTCGAAGTGTCCCCCTCGAAAATAAAATCGACCTGTCTTTTCGTTTTTCCATATTATCGACTTGGAGGGAGATATTGAGGGTGGGAAGTTTTCAAATTGACACCCTGTATATTTAATTCGAACAAATGTTTCAACATTAAATTTTTTTATTGAATTCACATCAACTACTTCATTTGGAGAAGAACACTATAATATCTATTTTCTATATTCAGAATATTATTTGATGCGAATCAAAAATAACAGATTCGATGGATGAGTTTGTCAAACGATTATATAAAGATATGAAAGAAAACATATTTCATTTGCGATGAAGTAATAGTCAGGTCAATTCACCTCGCAGCCATCAATAGTATCTCACTTATACGTGACATAATTGTTGATGGAATCGTAATTGAGTTTGGAGGGTGCTTCGAATTTGAAGAAGCGAAGGTGAAAGGTATCTTTCAACCAAAGAAGCGAATTATCAAAATAATTATTTTTGAAACAATAACAACAGGGAATTCGCGGATTGGACTATGATGATTGAAAAAACCATATACCTGTGTATAAAATATGATTGATTACATTTTTTATTCTCAGATCATTTCAAAGTTGATTTTTATCAATATGGTGAAAAATACAAAATGATTGGTTTGTACAGTTCTAACTATATCCACAAGAATTGTCTACTATCTATGTTTATTCTTGCCAAAATCAGATTTTACTTACTTTTGGTAAAATACAATAATAGGATCATCCAACAAGTCACTGATATCGACCGTTCGACCTTTCCTGATAACATCCGGGTGTTTTTTCATCATCAACCAGCCCACGTGAGAGAAAAAGAATCCACGTTTCGCATTGTGTGGATCAGCATCAGTTTCACTGAATTTGTGATGCGTTCTGTGGTCACGAACCCACTCTACCAATGAGTTCTGTAAAATTGTGTTTCATCATCATTTGATAATAAATAATAATAATAATAATTCATTCAAAATGTTCAATATGTAACACTAAAACTTTTCAAGGGTATGTGAAAGATTATCAATATCAAGATGATGTTAACAAATACTCTCTGTGTTTATTACAATTTATCATAGTGATTCATTATTGAATATCAAAATAAGAAATTGGTTTGAAATTGGGACAATCTAGTAATCTTATATCCAATATTCGAATATTGGGCTAATGTGGACCCAAGTTCTGGCCAATATGGTATTCTTCCTGGGCTATACCCATGACACGGCTAGCCTAGACGAAAGTGTTGGAAACTTCATCCTGGCATGCCATGATGAACCCCTCTGTTTCCAATTTTAGTGCGCCTTACTTGAAGAGAGCAAAAGTCAATTTTCTCGAAGTAGACCGAACGCATGGACTTATTCATGTGGATCTATAGGAGCTTCCTCACTTCTGCAGCTTTGATGCGGGCCTTTCTCCGAGCGGGCTCTAGCTTAGTTATTGAGTCCTGAGCCTCGCGCTCGGAGTAGACTATCAGGGAGAATTCATCGACTGCTCGACGTGCTGCCCTGGAGAGCAGAGTCCCTACACCTGCCTCTTCATGCATTAGGATATCCGAACTCCTGATGACTTTCAGGTATCGTTCAGAACCGTTCTGTCATCGAGATACTCCAAGCTCTAGAGTATACGGCATGTTGGTCACGGGGGATGTATAACCGTGGAACGGCCAAATTTGAATGCATTGATGATGCATTAGTGAAGCGGCATAGCATAATAATTGTGCATTTTGTGATACAAGTATGCAATTTTCACCATTGTTAAAACATGATATAAACTTGATTTTGAGTTAATGTGACACTTCATATTGAGCATGCGTGAGATTTAATATACGTATATTTTCGTATTGGATTGTATTTAATATTCAAGCATATTTTTGGACATTAGAACATTGAGATTGATATTCTTTTTTGAAAATTTGATGGAACTATCAAAAAATTAACCTTATATATTTGTTGAAACGTATTAATACAAAAAATGATAGCTGATTTTGATTTTGTCGATTAAAATAGAAACACATTTCTATTTATCGTACGCCACTATCGAATATGTTCAAATGAGCATATTGAAAATTCCTCAGGAAACCCTATAACATCACCCTCCGCAATTGCGAAGTTCTGTGCATGGTAAATTGCTTTTCTTGCATTTGCAGCCTTGCTTGCATCCCTTTCAGCAACCATAATAAATAAGCTCATTGCATACTTCTTGCTGCTTCTGGAATTGTTATCCACTCTGGAACATATTGGTCATCATCTACATTGCTTCAACATCAACTTGTCACAAGAGGTAATACAGGACTTGGGATCAGTGTCTGGCTTCAGATGTAGCAACCTTGATATATGGCTCTCTTCACATGTTGCTTGGGGGCATTTAATAAAGCATAAGCTACTCCTCAGTAGTTTATCTTCTCTGCTAACCTAACCTAACCTTACCTGACCCATATTTCAACGCCCATGTTTTGTTCGGAAAATGTCCATGAAATTATAGGATCGCGCGTCCTAGTCGTGAGATATAAAGATTATGAGTTCTGTGACTCGACCGTAATACAATTTCAGAGTGCAGACAAATCAATGGGAACCGTATTGCTTCAAATACAATTGTATTGATTGATATCCCTAACAGGATTAGTCAAAGTTGATTATTGTTCACCTGGTTAGAATTTTTCTTGTTCTCGCCAGATTCTGATGTATGAGACAGGGAGTGCCATCTGAAATTATCAAGTTGGGGTTGCTGGAGGTAAGGGGGATGAACATAGCATTCAGTCGATACTGGTATTTTACTTCTTCTGAATGTCAAAATTGACCTTCATTTTTTTGAAAATTCTAATCGCCGCAAAACAAAAGATATGCAGGGTATTAAGTTTTCAAATAAAAGCCCTTTATACTCATGACAAAAAATAACTATTCATTTCAATTCTTTCTTTTCGTAAAAAGTTCCTCTTATGGCTGCTACCAAATGTGTCGGAAGATTATGTGTGGTTTCTCTGAAACTACTGATTCAACACTTTTATCAGTTCCGAAGATGTATGAATGTTTCATGTAACAGAGAAATTCAATCTCTAAATATTAAATTTGGATGATGATGGAATTTGGGCAAACATTTCTCACTGTTTAAAAAATATCAATCAACCGGTAGTTCTTCGACGATGGTTATTTGATTCGCAATGGTAATGACATGCAGTTTATTATCATTCATTCGATCGGACATCTCTTTGGACGAATAAAACTTTTTGCCATTCAAAAATATAAATCATAATAGGAAGAATGTCACTACCATTTCCGAAATAGCAAATGAGTGTAATACTATTTACCTGTCCAGCTATACTGAAGCAAAACAAAAGGAATATCTTCAATGGCAATCTGGCTTTGTAAGATCGATGTGTGAAGTATCGATGAGCTGCACCAGTGATGCCTAATCCGGTCAGAGTTGCTAGTATAACATCTATCAAAACAAAAAATCAGGTGATGAAATTGTCGAATCAAGGCTACAGCCGAGAGGTATAAGATCCCGTGGTAATAATATTCTTCACTACCAAGGTGTATATCAAGTTTTTTTCACCACTAGCAATGAATTACAATCATTTTATCCTGTAAAACTGAAATATGGGCTCATTGTCACTATGAAAGCACTTTTTCTCAATTCGTATTGAAATTTAGTAGTTATGACCACGACAGTATATAAAAAAAAAGTATATGACAAGTCGTTATTGATGAATACCTATTGAATTCGAGTGTCATTTCTACAAATCCCGCATCAGAACAGTGAATTCGGGTTGATTATTGTTTTTTCTAAAATTGTAACAGAAGTGACTATGACTTTATTGACTAGTGGTTCATAAAATGACGAAAACTACTTTGGTAGAGAAGACACACTGCACGCCTCGAAAAGGAAAATATAATGGTTGGTTTTATAGCTAGTGGTGGTAATAATAGGTTATATTGTAGGAGATGGGGAATATGTATAACATTGCAATCAAATTCTTTGACAAACATTTCTGGTTTTACTAAAAGTTGATGAAAACTCCTCTCATCATTGTAACACTCTGTATAATTCCATATTATTCCACGATATCAACAATACTAGGTTCAATATGATGATCTCTTTCGATGAGACGATATTGGAAAAAACTTCCATCATACATTCCAATTTTCATTTCAATACCGAACATATTGGTGAGTTATATTTTTATATCATAATACATCATATTATTCTATTTGATTTGAGACATGATGTCGATTCTCTATTTCAGAGGATTTTGATTTCTCATGCTCTCTTTTCTGGATATTCAACAGATATAATTCAATGTTCGACGTGGAAAATAGCCAGGAAAGTAGTTGTTTTCTGTTAAAAATTCAGAATGAGATTATGTGCATATGTTTATATGAAGGGAAATGCAAATTCTCTACTTCAGGAGATTTTGTTTTGAAATTCATATCGTGTGTGTTCATTAGATATAATTCAATGTTCGTGGCATATAGCTAGGGCAGTAGTTGTTTTCTGTTGAAAAAAACGAGGAAGTATAAACATTTTCATCAGATGGAAAATGCGAATTCTCAATGTATTTCCTAATATATATATATAGATATAGAAGAAGAGAGAATACTCCTTTTCAGTATCTTCAATATCTTTTTCGTCTATCGCACATATCAGGCATACAAGACAAATTTTCTCTCCATACCACCATAAAACTAGAAGTATGCGGAGAGTACGAATAGGAAGAATTGGAGAAAGTATGTCTTATTTGTAGTGCGCCCGGTAAACCCGCCTATGGGTAATAAAATGAGTGCGCGCAAAATAGAGACTGAGCACGGAGGAGAGTAAAATGTTCGAGAACGTTGGAAGAATGCACGCTGTGAAAGTGTGAACCAGTATAAATAAAAACGAGTTTAATATCACCTATAATAAACTGGTTATAGTAAAAAAGGTGTTGAAAAGGCTAGTGGTGAAGCCATACCAACCCAGTTTCGAGATAAACAGAAAGTTTGGTACCAAGCCGTGATAGCAGCAACGATTCCAGAGAATCGCCATCACAGTAAAGGCTGCGGTAGGGGTGGGTCGACATACTTTGTGAACATTTTGAAGGAGTGTGAATGGTATATTTTTGTTATCGATTCTAGTATCATTAGTAGAATTCAGGATTTTAGTTGGGTTTGAGGTTATAAGTTTCACAGTTCATTTGGTACAGGAAAAATCCTTTCAGATACATTTCGCTACTAATTGTTTGACGATTGATCAACTTTGCATCAAACATAACAGACATTTGATGCGAGATTATTATTTTTGAAAGAAACTCATATCAACAGTTTTGTCGAAGTTGAAATGTTCTTTATATTATGGAAATTTCGAGAAAGTTCAGAATATATCAAAATCCAGAAGTTAAATGTGGACGTTTGAATTTGAGATACATGTGTAAAATCGGCATAGAAACAACTTCTATTCGTGCACGTTTCTGGAATACAATCAAATAAGCCCATTTTCAGCGAATAATTTGGGAAATGTTACTTTGTAGCGATAGTGACGTGCCCGAGTCGGTCATTTTTCATATCTCCTGGAACAAAACTCCATGCACAAGTCGAATTCCTAAATAAATTATCATTAACTTCCTGAAAGACACTGTATAACTTTTTTTTTCATTCTAGTTTGCATGATGAAATTTCATTTTGACCTTCTCCTGCGAATAGTAAAATGTGTTCCTTCTGGAATAACGAAGTTGTGGCCCACTTTCGGAATATACAGAAGTCCTGAGTTCGCAAATATTTTGCGAAAGAGTTGATCACTTTTCTGATTCAGCTAACCAACAGTTATTTTGCATCAGCCTGTATACTGTATACTATTTTCACACTCTGAAATGAAGTGAATTTATCTCACAATAATTGATGGTATGATGACATATTCCATCTAGATAATGAATATCTTACAGAATAGCAAAACTTTCGGTTTGGTCCAAGAGTCAATATAGAAGGCTGCCAAAACTGCAAGGAGATGCCATGCTGATAAGACAAACACGTTGAACCATTGGACAGGCGTTTTGAATTCCCATTTATAAAATTTGTATGGAGGATAACTCGGTATTGGCTTTTCTTCTTTCATCAAGGCACGGTGAATTTTTCTTGGTTTTTTTGATATTACTTGGTCAGTGAGAACAGTGGTCGTCATTTTGTAAATAACTTCTTGTTACCACAGTCTTCGGAAATCAATCAATTTAGTAGCTTCTCATCGGTTATTTTTGATCCTGTAACAAAACAATTGGTTCTCTGACATAAATGATGAAATGAAAGAAAAAAATGGTAGTTTACAATAGTACTATATCACAATCGGAAAAACTTTCATGATCATATTTTGTGTCCAGAAGTTACAGGATATCAAAAGTGTAAGTGATAATGTTTTGTTCAATAGTTATAGAACGATGTAATAGATGTAAACGAAATTCAATTCAAATTCATCCAATTTGTTTTTCATTCTATTTTCAACAATTCCAAACGAATTGAAGACATTTACCTCAATAGAAAAAGCGTCGACTCAGAACGACGAATATAAGTCAATAAAAGATTCAATTTTTGTACACAATGAAAATTCCTGAAGAAGCGATGGGAATCATTGAGAAATCACGCCACACATGCATATCATTGGAAATCCTCGTTTTCAGACAAATAAATATGAATGTGCTTCCAGACCCAACGACTGGATGTGTGCAAATAGAGAAGTTCATTCAGCGTTGAGAGAGAGAAAAAATGTATTGCCATTCTGTTCGTGTCTTCAGGGTTCCAACATGAACTGATGAAAATTGTATGTTGGAAACACAAGAAATGGAAAGAAATGGACAACGTTTTTTATATTGAGGTCTTTTTCTACATTTCTTCCCATTTCTAGTGTTCCCAACAGATATATTCTCTCTCTCTCAAAGCTAGCTGAACTCATCTATAGAAGAATTGCTCACTTCCAATATCTGAAACTGACAATGAATTTGAAAGAATTTGTCACTCACTTCAGAAAGTGAGTTACTTGCTTTGTGGTGGTTTGGTGGTTATCTTGGGGTTAATTACTTCCAGAAATAGGTTCAATATCATGATTATTCATTCAATATGAATCGATATAACGCAACAAACTTTGAAGGATAGCCAACTGAGAATGCTATGTACTGTATCTGGAAAACTAGCCATCGTAGAGGCTCAGGGCAAGAAATGTCATTATTAAAAGTAGTGATGTTCGAGTGATGTTCCTCCTGTGAAGTCCCCTATACCAACCTGACAAAAAAGTACCTGATATGTCCCAATAATTCTGCCCACCAGTGTGCCACATTAAAACTCCAACTTCCTAGGTGCTGAACTTTATGCAACCAATGCGGATTTCTACCCACCAATAATGAATATTATGCAGATTGACTCTCCTGTCACGATATAGCGGACTTTACAGAAACATCACTTTGTTAGATTCATGATAGTAGTTACGCTAACGAGCGTGCATTCCATAAACTTGAAGATATTCTATAGGTTTTTCCCTTGGCCCTTTTATTGTTAATTTCTTTTTCCGCAAGCCTTCACGATGGATAGTTTCCTAGATACAGAACCTCGCAATTTGAAGTTGTACATCTTGTTGTTATTCTATGTGTATTCATGTGAAGTTCATTTTAACAAAATTTGAATCTGCAGAAGGATGTACCATTAGCTGAATCGAACATATTGGTATATCTATTGAGGTGGGTTTGTTTTGCGAATTACTTTCTGAAATGAAAACAATTTCGCAGAACCAGTATTGCCACATTCACATTCAAATGGGGCATACATGAGCCTGAGTAATCATCATCATATCCAGAAAAAAAATGAATACCATTTATAAACGAGAATTTGATAATGAAAATTGTTATTTTTGATGAACCCAAAATAACAAGTTCTGGAAAATCATCAAATCATGTTCGATATGCAAATTATTCTGCAATTCAAAATAATGAATTACATTCAAATTCTTTTGGAATCCTCACATATCAAATAGGTATAAACATGTATGTACTTTTCAATGATATACTCTATTTAAGGAGATGCGAGGGTGAAAGGTGTTTGTTGTGTGTACCGTCTTCAGTGGTAACAGACTTTGTAAATGCTTATCATGAGGCTTCAGGCTATTATGGGTCCTATAAGTGTTGGTCTGCGGTCTGGTGGGCTAATAGGTATCGGGATATGAAAACGGTGACTAAAACATGCCATATCTGTAGAAAAGCAAAGTCAGTTAATCTGCCAAAGCCTTGGCAAACCCCATTTCACCTACTGGAAAAGGTCAGATAGTTGCTTTGGACTTGTTTGTGCCATTGCCAAAAAGTAGGGTTGGCGCTTCCTACCTTTTAGTTGTCATAGATCTTTTTAACAAATTTGTGGCCTTATATCCCTTTCATGAAACTACTGCAAACTCGTGCCTCAACCGCCTTGAAAAGGAATATTTTCCCAATATAGGCCTCCTTCAAAGCAGCCTTATCCTACTTCTTCAAATGGCGATATAATAGTATTAAAAGCAAATCCAATTTCTTCTGTCGTTTATCAAAGGACAAAGAAATTTCTACGATTATTTGAAGGTTCATACCGTGTTGAAAAAATCTGTTAGTTTTGCTTCTTATCTGTTGAAACACCCTGGAAATGGTAGAGAAAGAAAGATTTTCCACGTGAGCCATTTGAAGCCTTATTATGGTGGTGAAGCGGGCATTTCTTGACAGATTCAGAGATGGGCAGTTGAGCTGGAATATTTATCGTTCGTTGGCTGGCTGTGGCTATAATGAATTTGTTATTTACATTCTCCATACTGTAGGTTAGGTCGACAATCTCAACCCTATATTATCGCTCTTCTTATTTCTTATCGTGAATGGATTCCATGTCAAGTGACAGTGTTGCCAGTCCCAAGCTGCCGTGTCGCCATATAACTTGCTAGCCCAAGATTCGCGAACTACTCAGTCGCCTCGGCACCCGTCTGCATCAACCTGTGTTTCTATGGCGGACTTTCAACGAATATATTAATCCCTTTTATTTGTTTTGAATTTGGCGCGTGGAAACTGTTTTTTAAAACTTCCTTAACGGTCGGCGATCGCGGCGCAAAAATCGTTCCCCTTGACAGGTGGATTCAAATGTCTGGTTGAAGTTGACGTTGGGTCCGCGTCGGCGATGTAAAGAGGCAACATTTCGGTTTGGTTAGTACTCTGCCCCTGTATGGGAATTATTGTGCAGCCTGGTGTTTCTATGATAGGTGAATGAATACAATGTTTTTGTTTGTTATGGATTGATCGAGATTCGTGTTTCTATAATAGCCGAAGTACCACGCGGACGAATAAAGTTTCAGTTCCAGCTCCCACTCCTGGCGTATTCATCACTCTACCTTACCCCACAAAAACCCATCTCAGCTCAATATAGCCATATAAGGGGAGCAATTGTTAAATTGTGAAATGAAGTAATCTATATCTGTGATTTTCGTATGAAAAATGAAAAATATATCGTCGACATATCTTATCCAAACCCTAGGGAAATACTGGACTCGTGTGCATACGTTTCAAATCAATTCATGAACAGTTCAGCCAAGAAAGGTGATGAACAATTACCCATGGCTGTACTTCATGTTGGTAGGTTAGATAAATCGTGTGTAGCCGAACACATGATCGATCACAATCATAACACACATTCAAATGACCTTAAATTAGTTAAGCAAGTTGAGAATGTTAGGAAATTAGATGCATATGGAAGCTTAGAGATATTTAGGAATAGTAATAAAGTGAGGATAATGGACCTATCCCATTCAGCCCTCTGTATAGTTTAGTAATATAACATGTGAACTCAACCATGAATAATATTAACTTGGCGATTATTGTCTATTCACGGTTGGGTGGACATATTCTCAGTATATAAGTAGCTCACTAGAATAGAGCATTTAGTTTCAATATTCTCCTGAAGATGCTAACATAGTTAGCGAAACACGTGTCGAGGTGTAAAAAATTGGTAGGCTAGTGGTAAAAGAATGTCTAGTGTACAGCATTCGTGATGACAATGTTGCCGCTTCTCAGAATTTGTCTGAAGTATCTATGAAAAATGGTGAAATACCGAAATTAATGTTGTTGTTACTTCATTGCCAATTGACATTTTTCAGTATATATCCAATATTCCCATGTTCACAATATATCTAATAATATTCCTTCTCGCTACTTCCATACTCATTCAAGGAGTTCAAACTTGAACTATGGGAATTTGTTATTTTTATTGACCTCTAATCGAAGATTCGTGATTGGGTTTTCTCAGTTCAGAATTTATTTTCATGCCCAGTCACACAGCACATGTACATACGTACAATGAATGAAATATGAACGTTGAAAATGAGTGTTCCGGACATCCATTGGATGTCTAAATGTTCGTTCAATGGACGTCCAGGACACCACCTTGGACGTACATTCCAATTCCAGAAAAGATCCAATGGATGTACATTGTGCGTACATTTTGTGTACATTGGGCGTCTATTGTATGTTCATATTTAGTAAGATCGATGTCAAGAGAACATCCAAATAACAACCACTGTCCAATGTACATCTATTGTACATCTGAATGGATTCAGAGGATACAGATACATGGTCCCCTGAAGATAATGAGTAAAACTTCGAAAACATTGGCAATTCTATATACAGGGTGTTTCACCACGAAGACAAATCACACAGAAAATTAATCAAAGTTCAACAAAAAGCGAGATGGAACATAAAACACTGTCCTTTCTACAAAAGTTCTTCTATCGGAGTGTGCTCCATTTACTCTGCAGCATACTCGTGATTACCGTCGTCATCTGAATCAGATTCACCACCATGAATCAGTCGCACTCGTCACTTATAGTTTACCACAACCCATACCTATTCATCAGTGATTAAAAGTGAACTCATCTTATACTTGATTATGGAACGAAACAAGCAGCAAGCATTATAGAAATAACCTAATCATTTTCTGATGATGATAACTGTTAACTAATCACAGTGCAGTCATAAGTATCACAGTTCACGATCATCAAATAATAGGTTACTGCACAAACTACATGCAATCAATCGAAAGATCAGACTTCAGAAGATTCCTTTATAGAAATACATGAAAATACTGTCTGTCACCTTCATCTTCAAATATCAGTTTCAACTAATCGAGATGCGAATATTCAAACATATTTCTCATATTCTCTGATTTACAGTTGTGTGTTGCCTTTTCTGTCATCTGCAGTGAGTAATCAGTCTAA